TACGCCTCGCTGCCTGCGTGCTGCGCTGTGGCTACGCACACTCATGGGCATTTATCTGCCAAATGACTGGCTGCATGGGACCGATTTCTGATACAGCCAATTTTCTTTATATTGGTGCATATCAGCTATTGGACCAATGTACTGGTGCACCTCTTGTGTGTGTGTGTGTGTGTGTATGTAAATGTATACTCTTTAGCTAAATGTCATTTAATAGGATCTGTATTTTAAAGTGGAATATAGTAGAAAAGTAACAGAAGTGTCCATTCAAATGTCATTAATTTCACAGAGCCTCTATCCATTTTACTGATCTACCAATAAAGAAACAATTCTTTAAATTTTTTATATATTATGATTGTTTCTTTCTTACGTTCCCTGTGGCTTCTCCCTGCCACTGCCACCAGCGCACAGCAGCTGAATGCACAGCACCAACCACTGACCTTGGCCTGCCCTGCATCTGCTCCAGACTCACCCTACCTCGAGTGGACAAGCTCCAGACCAGCCAGAAGCTGTGCACAGCACCCCACCGCCAGCCCACCCCGTGCTGCTCTGGACCATCCTGAGCACTGAAAGCAGCTGAGCAGAAGTGGCTGCTGGGCACAGGGGAAAAGCAGCCACCTCCCCCTCACTGTTGCAAGGCCCTTCTTGCTGCAGCTACCCAGAGACCATACCCAGGCTGCCCTGTGGCTCCTCTCTGCCACCATCACTGCTGCCTCTGGGCTGCTCAGGGGGGTAGTCAAGGTAGCGCAGAAGAGCCATAGAGCAGCCTGGGTGCAGGTTCCAGGCAGTTGCAGCAAGAAGAGCCCAACAGTGATGAGGGGAAGGCAGCTGCTTTTCCCCCACATTTAGCAGCAGCTTTTGCTGCTCAGCATGGGTGTACACTTCAGAACAGCTGTAGGGTGAGCCAGGGTTAGGGCTGTGCATGCTGGTCCAGAGCTGGTTTGCTTTGGCCAGATGAATCTGGAGTAGGCATGGGGTGAACTGGGGTCAGGGCTGTGTGCACAGGTCCCTGCTAATACCATGGGGCATGGGCTCACAGCAGTGGCAGCCAGAAGGAGCTGATGCCACCTGGCCTGCATAAAAATGCAGTCCAACCATGGAGTTGCTCCAGCTCCGCTATGCTCCCAGGGCCAGCAGGATGTTTCACAACCTTGTGCCTGGGCCAGGCGGGACCGAGAGACCCACTGTGGGCCAAACCAAGTCCCTCTGTGGGCTGGAACTGGCCCACAGGCTGTATTTTGCCCACCCCTGTCCTAGCAGCTTGTCTCCTTCAAACCAGCTGACCCATAGCATGACATCACTGTAGTCTTGTCCAGTCAGGGTACCACACTCCAGTCTTTCTCTAAGCCAGTCTTCCTGAAGATGTCTTTGCTTCCCGTGGCCAATCAGGCCAGAAGATTTTATCCAGATACAAGGCCCCAGCTTTCCATGTGCAGAGCACATGGCCATCTTGCCCATATGGCCAGACAATACATTTGCTTCTCGGCAACAGAGCAGAGGAGAAAAGAAAAGAAGAAAAATGAAAAATACAGGCCCCCCCCCCCCCCCCCCCCCCCACCACAATGGCACACACTCTACCATACACAGCCCAAGGGTGTGTGGGTGTTATATCTGTAATGGTGACAATTACTGTTACAGTCTCTAAACCTTTAAACAGTGAAGAATTCAAGCATCTTGTTAAAATGAGGTGCTCTGGAAGAACATTAAAAATGCCCCTTTTTAAAAAAATATATAAAACACATATATGAGGTTGAGGCTACCAGAATAGATTTAAGAATTTTTAACCTGTGTTTCCCCTCTCCACCTACGATATTTTGAAAAGCTTTGAGTTGTCCCTGGTGCAAAACTACCTGCATGTTTCAGAACTTCATTGTATAACAGAAATAAATGATTAAAAATGGTTATCTTTATCCTGAATGCTGCTTTATATATTATTCTATATCAAGGAGGTTACATCTGTTGGGAGTTACATTCTTCTAGGATTATAAGCATATATTCAAATATAGCCCTTCCTTTTTTTTTTTTTTACTAACTCTGCTTTAGGGTTTATGAGCCTTGCCAAATTCTGTGTGGTTTTCTTTAATTTCCTTGTTTAATTTAGATTTTTCTTTGCTCTGTATTTTTTCTTTGCTTATATAGACATAAAACTAAAAATTATTTTATTTTTAACAACGTACGTGGATTTTTCCAACCAGTTTTTTATTCCCTCAGTGAGGAAGAGGCTGACCTATTTCAAATAATTGCTCCAAAGTTTCACAGTAGCATGGCTTAATAGGCTCATTCTTTCCTGCAAGGAGTGTCACTGAAAGAACTGTCAGATACCCAAACTTCTTACATAAATGAGCATGTCACTATAAATCCCTATCCAACAGACCACCAATTCTTGAGTCCTTCACTTGAGGAACTGCCCCTGAAGGATTAGGGCAAGGGTCTGGAACAAAAAGATTTAGAATTAGGAGCTCTGTTAATCAATGATCTGAGTAGACTTAGTTTTTGACTTTGTCCTTATTTTCCATTTCTTACATAACATCCACTAAAGGAGGCCAGTCAGACATTAGGGTTCATTGAAGGCAGTGCTGTGCAGACAAATAATGTTAAAAGCAGTCCTTGCCCTGACAAGCTTAGAATTGCTCATATTCAAGATGCCAAAGACAAGAATAAATACATAAATGAGATTGAGGGCCAGGTGACAACATAAATGAGCCATTTGCATTAGTAACTATATGGGTTTTGATGGTCATAGCGTACTCAGACTTCAGAATTGAGGTTTAATTCCTTGATACCACCTTCAAGGAAATGAATGGGATATCTGGTAACAGATTTTGGGTTTTTTTTACCCTACTGTTATCTAAGTTTCTCAAATCTGCTGTAGGATTTGGCTATTTAGCTGGAGATCTAACAGCTGACTCAAGTTTTGGCCTTTCTGCAAAATTTAACGCTGCAAATCATTGCAGCTCCTTTCAGAACAGCAAGCCCTCTGGTGAAACCCTACACTTTTTAAGAAGGTAGCTTGCCAGTCCTTAATAACCCTTTATGCCATATATACATTAATAGCAGTAAGTCCTTCACAATGGACAGGACATAAAAGACATGTTGGCTGTGCACCAGTGTTCAAATAAGGCAGACTTTGGTCATGACTTCTGTGTGAATGACCTGGTTTGATCCTCTGCAGGGTGTGGAGAGATTCAGGCCCATTATAAAGGACTATCTCCTGTCAATAAGCAAATCTGATTTTTTTTCCTTGAGATGAATGAAGAAAAGACACTATCCCCTATACCAGAAAAGGCATTTGTGTATCTCTGGTCATATAAACTTTAATATAATGAATGTCCTGATCGTGTGCACATCTCCTTGTGGAATAGGTAATTGTACTGTCTAAATCTTACGAATTGAGTTAATGGAAGTATTGCCTATATAAAAACTTTGGGACTGATATTAGTAATTATTGCTGTCTGCCCTCCCAAACTGCTCTTTTTTTTTCCCCTCCCTTTAAACATTTTTAAAAATTTTATATGCATTTTCTGTCTGTATTCTACATCACTTTATGCCAGACTTCCTTGACTGCACCAGGGGGTTGGAGATGACAAGATATATGTAGTTCATTAAGTATGTGATAGCATATATTACTTTGTTTAATCTAAATATGATCCAAAGAGATGCACTGGTTTTTAAAAAAGGCAAACCAAGACCATGTAAAAACCATAATGAGCACTGTGTGGGCATGAAACTCCAGTTGTTTAGGGAGGCCATGCTGTTTCTTCATTCTCAAATGGAGAAAAGAAATAAACTTTGTTTATTTCCATTCTCAGATAAAGAAGAATAGTAAGTGCTAAGGGAATGAACTGAGGTTGAACAAGCCATGATCTTCAAGATTTAAGAGACTTCGCTATGGGTCACTATCAAAAGACTCTGATGTACCCTTCAGCTGTTTAACCCAGAGATGAGGAAGCAGGTGTCAAAAGAAAAAAATATTTCTTGAGATCTGGGGGCAGATGATTAAAATAAAATTAAAGAGCTACAAAATCTGCCCAAATACATGCAGTAAAACAGGGACTGAGATCTCAGCCTGGGTTGATGGAAATCAGGTGTGGATGCTAATCTGTACTCTTCAGGGAATACCTGTGCTGTCTGTATAAGGGATAAGCAACCTGCTGAAACAATCACAGGCCTGCTTAGGTAACACATGGGTCATTTGTGTTTTTAAGCTTGCAATTCATAGGCCTGATTCTATAACCCTAACGGTCTCTGATAGTCCCTGGTCAGTGAATCCTACTCATTACAAAGGGAAAATGTTGACTGTATCTTTCAGCTTTCTCTCTAGATGCAGGTACTGGTTGTGATGGGGTGATTGACTATCTTATTTGAAAATGATTTATGAATAATCATGAATAATTTGCTCAATATTGAATTAAATGGTGTACTACATGGCTGCTTGTAGTTGCGATTCAGAGGTGGGATGTAATCTTAAATTACAAGGATCAGAGTGACTATGTTAAGAGCTGCATTGAATATATATTTTTTAAAGATGCATTTAGTACTGGTAGGAATGCCATGTAGGGTGCTGCTTTTTACAGAGATCTACACAGCTTAGGACTAATTCTAAGCACATGAGTAATCCCATTAATTTATTTGCACTATATGAGCATTTGAGAATTAAGCTTGTTTGTAAGTCTCCGCAGGATAAGGGCCCATTTTTATAGTAAAATGAAAACACTTAATGTATTAAAGCTTTTTTTACATCCCATCTTATTATACAAAATTGATTTAAATAGAGGTTTTGTGCTTTTTCACTCTAACTTTTCACCAAATAATGAATATAAATGTTAACTCATATATTAAGTGCTCTATGAACAAACTCAGATCGTAAATTCATTAGCTATGTAGATCATCATAAACATTTCACTATAACACGGAGTACTTTTTAGGGGATTAAGTTCATGCTGCCTATCAATTATTCTTGTGTACTTCAAAACAACGACAAAAACATCTCTTTTTCCTTCTAGGAATCCAGAAGCTTTGAAGTCACAAGAAGAAAAGGTAGGAAAAATATGTTCTTTTTTTCCCCACTGTATTTGTCACTGTTGAGTGTCTTGAAGTAACTTGTTGAAACAAATATGAATCTGAAAACTTGAAAGAGTTTATTGCTGTCTTAGTTTAAAAGGCCTACCTCCTAACATCTACCTGTCAGTTTTTATTAAAACCACCCGTCAGATGTTGTTAGTGAAAAATCACTGTTTCATCAGAATAGTAGAAGAGTTTTTGGTATGTGAGGGACTTTTAAATTTTATTTCCATGAGCATTACTTGATTAAAAATGTATTGGCTGACTGGAAAAAATGTGCTAGGATCAAGTTGTCTGGAGTTCGTGCTACATGAATTATTGGTGGTTGGGATCTTCCTATTAAGACAAACTGCAGTCTTGAACACAACAGAAGAGGACATTAATTTTTGGCTTGCTTTGGACATCATCTTTATGAACTAATAAGAGAAGGAGATATTCATTAGGCCTGCCCCAGCTCCTGAAACTTGGAAAATAAATGGAAAAAAAAAGCCCCAACTTACTGGAGCACCTGTGGGGGGGCTGGATGAGCAGGGGGAGTCAGGGGGGCTCATGGCAGAGCCCCCCATACAGTGGGGGGCAGCAGGGATTGCTCCCCCCACCTGGCAGCACCTGGTGAGCACTGGGACTTTGGGAGGGTTGGGGGGGCTGTCAGGGGCCCCCACTTCCCTGCCCCTAGTACTTACCAGTATGGAGTCAGCAGCAGCTCCCTGCTGCAGCCACTGGGGACTGCCTGAATCATCAAAACTCTCCGAATCTTTTCCAAAGGTTCGGAGAGCTTTGATTCAATTCAGACCTTTAAATTAGTCCCCTGATTCAATTCAGATTCAGAGATTCGGTCACCGAATCGGGCCGAATCTCTTCCGAATCACCACCCAAACTTTCACACAGCCCTAATATTTATCCTTTCCTGAGCTTGCACAGATACTGCGTACATATGATAGCTTTCTAAGATACTATTCATCTATGTAATGAAAGGTACTTTAAATTCTATGAATAAATCCTGTTCTATTTTATTGAAATAAAATGGCAACATACAGGTAACAAGAGCAATAGGAGTCTCAATTTCATATGTATCAAAAAGATGTTTGTATGCACATTCTTTTCCCCCCCAGACTAGTGCTGCATATAAGATATCTGGCAGATCACTTCCCATGTGACTACTTAAAAGAAACTGTAAATAAATGTTGGTAGTGTACCTTGGTCTTGAAACAGCAAAGCAGGGCAGGAGGGGAGGACTTTGAAAGATTGCCTGGGGAGGTGGCCGGGTGATTACAAGAAAGGGAAGAGGTAAACACTGATGGTGCAATCAGGAAAGTTAGGAGGCTGGGATATGTGACATTTTTTACTTCTCTGTATGACCTCAAATGTAGTCTCTCTCTCGGGTTCAAGATTTGGGAAAGGTTTGATACTAAATGACATGCTAGACCTGACTTGCATTTGGTCTGAGAACAGGTTATTTGTTGTGATGATGAAGTTCAACTGTTCACGTATTTTTAAAGCTACCAGTTCTCTTTAACTGCTTCTAGCCTTCTGAATTTCAGCTGCTGGAGCAGCTAGGAGGGAACACCTCAATGGCTCCAGTAAGTGGCCATTTTAGAGTAATCCTCATCAGTTGTTTTTCCAAGACCATAAGGCTATCATCAAGATATCTCTGGTAGTTATGATTGCTTGGTGGCCATTAACAGAGTGAAAAGGGAAGTACACAATCATGGGGAACTGACTAATAGCCGGTGGAGTTTAGAAAATGTGTTCACAATTGTGTGTTTGCAGTTAGTGATGTGAGACTCCAGGGAGGGAGGCAGATGTCAGAGAATGGTGTCACTACCGTGGCTCAGAAAGACAGCTATGCAACTAGAAACTTTGTTCACATGTACATACCTGTTAAATAAAAGATCCAAGCCAGTGCACTTCTAGGTGAGTTCAAATCACACTTCCTACAATTGTTTTGAATGAACAACTAATTAGCAGTTGTCTCAAGCAGCTCTTTTATTGTTATGGGCAGCTGGCTGAAAATCAACCATCAAAGAACCCATTCTGTTTATCATTAATTTTGATTTTGTTTAACAGATGTTTTCTGGATCGCGCAGTCGTCTGCCTAATCTATCTTGGTATAATGTGAAGTGGGTAACAGTCGTCCATTAAACAGATTAATAGGTTTCCTAATTTTGTTCTGGTAGCTGTTTTAATTGCTTCAGACATGCAAGATACTGGGAAGTATGCTGTAAACCGTCATGGTTTTATTGTGTTTGTGACGATAAAAGGTCAGTTTCAAATGGATTTGCCCTTTGGACAGATTGTCCTCTTGCTTCCTTTGCACTTGTTCTGTGTGTGAAAGTCTTGCAGGTTGCTGAGACAACTGAGGGACTGAATGTGTAGAGGGAATATCTTATGGCCATCGCCAAAGGAGAAATTGGGTTGCCTGAGGTTTCCAGCTGTGCAACTATTTGCCTCAACCTGCTTACTTCTTTCTAACTAAGAAATTAAGTTGTATCAGATATCCCTATATTTTAAGCGGTGGATTTTACTTGGGCAAGGATTTTCAAAAAATATTCAGCATTGGCCTGCATCTCTTCCCACTGAAGTGATTGAGTTCTACCATTGATTTTGCTAGGAAAATTCTTGCTAGATCGTGACACATTTTTGGCAGGTTTTACATAATACTTTCATTTTACTTTCAAAGATTTGTATATCTAAAGTTGGGTTTCAAAATAAGGACATTTCCTGTTGTAGTGGTGTTTACCCCTACAGTTATGAGGCAGGATAATATGATTTCACAAAAGAGATGTTGTGGAGCAAAGCAAGCTGCCTGTTCTCTTATCTGCCAGGTTTCTTTGGGTTTTTGTTTTTTTTACCTTTACCAGTCCCTTCTGCATATGAGATCCCATAAAAGTATCTGGCTGCCCATCCCTCTATAGCTTCCCACCCCTCTTGAAAATTTGGCTAAGAGCATATGAATTCCAGCCATTTTATTTTATGAGTTTGGCTCAGTTTCTTGTTTTGTATTGCTTGTTTTGTGTGCGTGTGTTTTTTGGGTTTTTTAACATTTTTGCTTCCCCCACCCATGACAGTCTTGCTCCTGGAAGTAACTGCACCCGCAGCTTTATATGTAAGTTTTATACCTAACGTTTGCAAGTAAAATATTAGTCAGTAGACATGCAACAATAACTTGACATCTTTACTGTCTTGATAGTCAAGCGTCTTGTCTATCTGTATATCCAGTCACACGTCATTCTGGACACACAAATGTCAGAATGTCCCAGTGAAAATTGAGGCTTTAGATGATAAAATCTTTGAAACCACCCAAGTTTCTGACTTCTAACATACCCGCCTGACCCACTCCTGTGAATGGGTCCTGAGTCCAGAAATGCATGAGGTCATTCCAAGGTTCTTCACAGGAGCAATCACGGTGGAAACTGAAGTCTCAGGAGCCATCAGTGAAGGATGCCTTTATCAGGTGTATGCTATTGCTTATGTAGAACCACTGGGATACTTTTGGGTCCAGAGCATGTCAGTGGGAACAGGCAGGTTGTGCTTGGAAATGGCCCAGCCAAGGAATACCTCTGTGACAATGCAGAAAGCCCATCTGGAACTGCAGCAATTACTTTTGACAGTGGGACTTAGGACGTTAAGTGGTTCAGTACTTTTCAAAATTTTAACTCGCATCTGATGCTCAGGTTTACAAGGTGAGATTGTCTGGATTCCCTTATTGCATTAACCTACCATGTCTAACATCAAAAACCCTGATTTCCCCCTGCCTTGCACAACATGTAGTAGGGTGGGTTGGTTTTGCAAGTTTTTCATGAAAAATTTCGAAACGTCTCAGTTTACCCTCAGGTGGAACAAAATGAAACCTTGAAACATCTTGTATTTTCTTTCTTTTCCACCTAGTTCTGTCCCGTAGTCTTTACACCTGGGCAATGTATATGCAAATGAGCATAGGAGTGTTTCAAATCCACTTTCCATAGGGGTAAGCACACCCGAAGAGCAGAGCAGTCTAAAATAAGGTCCAATATGTGCTTTCTAGTCACCGTCATGTTTTGATGCCTCGCATTCATTTTCTCCAAACCATTCTCAGCAGCATGAATACCACCTGTCAATGTGAACATCCCAGAATGTTGCACTGCAATACAAACGGTATGCGTGAAGTGATTCTCCAGTTCTGATGTGATTCAGCCTTTCTGTAATCAGAGTATGTTTGAAGAATTACACGCAGCACTGAAGTCAAGAATAGACAGTTATCAACTAGGGTAAATACATATCTGGTCACAAAGAAATCTGAAATGATTTGCTAAACTAGAGTGGCTTTCTTTCCTGACTTTGCCCTCAGCTCTTTCTGTTTGAAAAGTAGTTTCTGATGTAATAAAGTGTTGTAGGACAAAAGAAATGGGAGACACTGCAAAAGAATAGAAAGAAGGGAAAAAGAATATGCTTTTTATACATATTTATAAATGCATTAATAACATTTATAAACATATTTATTATATGCCAGGATTAATAGAGGGAATCCAATTTGAGAGCCAGACCTGGTATAATATCAACAGTTTTCACATAGGGAATAGCTTTTACATGAAGCTCTCAAAACTGAGAGCTGTTGCAGGGAGGGCAGGGGGAACTTTTTTTCTTATGAAAAATGTTGGCTTTTTGGCAAAATATTGAAAACAATAATATCAGTTTGGAAATATGCTCAAGGGGCCTCCTGAGATACATAGTTCATATACCTCATGCTTCCATGCCCCTCTTTGTGACCAGCTCTTGTTGAGTCACTGGAATATGTCATGTGAATTTTCATAGACAGTAAGGCTGGAAGGGACCCCATGATACTGGGTCCAGCCAATGCATCCTGTGGCCAATTCTATGGCCATGATGTATCCTAGGTGATGTAGAATGGCTGAGGATATCATTTAATTTTGAATAGAGCACAAATGCAGCTCCCTCTTCCCCCCACCCATTTGGTTTATCTAAGTTATTGTGGTAAA